CTGAATAGGCCGTGTATAATAACCTTGGGCATCGCTCTTACACTTCAGCGTATGTGTTGCTGGAAAGAAATATTGATTTTATCCTCTGCCCTAAGGTATAAATTACTTGAAAATCTTCTGATTGTTGATGCTGTGTAATTCAGCCCAGAGAGGGAAAAGCCTAATGTGCAGTACAGGTAACATAAGGCTCTTAATATTGACACTTCCTTGTTGCCAACCATTTTGCCTCGGCATATTATTATGTTCCTGAAATGTATTTTTCACCAAATGCCATTAAAGTCCAGTTATTTTACAAGTTAGTTTTCTTTACCATTCATTTGTGCAATGGCTTTATTTAGATAAATTAGTGTATATTTGTGTATAAGGATGCAATGCAAATGAATCATTTGTCAAGTGATGATCATTTTTCTAGTTGTAGGACACAAGGGTTTCTGGCACTTGTTGCTGGGAAGCAAGTGCAAGACTGTAACGCCATCCCTGGCTTTACATTAATGGTGTTTAAAGAGAAACAGTCATAACTGGACTTGCTGAAGAATATAAATAGTTTGTCTTTATTATAACTGTGCAGTCTTACTTTTGAAAAATGTATTTGTTACCATAGCCAATATATAGGTTGTTCTAAGTAATATGTACATGGAGGCAGCCACATTGATTTATTACACACTCACTTTCATACTTTGCAGTGCTACACAATAGGTTTACTGTGCTTACTCATTAAAAAGAATGCTCTTGTCATGCGGCCAATATCTTATCCTAAAGTAAACTATCCCTAAGAGGAATGCAGAGGCGGCCATTGCTGACCTCCTTCTAAAAAATGCTGGTGACTTGGTTAGCTAGAAGAAGTTGGCTACATGTTACTGAACTTTTAGATGTTTTACTAAAAAATAGTTTTCTTAGGTCTGAGTGTCAGGAACATTGCCCAGCATTATTAGCCACACATGTAACTCAGTGACTAAACTCAGGAATAAAAATACATTTAAGTGCCTTAACTATTAACAATACTGGACCTTATTTATGCATCACTCGGCTGTAGATCCAATCATCTCTGAATTGGTGATTCCCCCCTCCACTGTCCTTTGTGGAGGGGGCTACTTTTGTTTCCCATTGTCCCGGTATGTCCCCACCGCTTCAAGCTCGCTCCTGTGATGGACTACATGTTTAGTTTACTAATTTGTATTGAGATTGTAGTCCATGATGGGAGTAAGCTTGGAGCGGTGACTACTATACAACACACACAGGGACCATGGGGAACAGAAGTAGCCACCCTCCAGAAGGAAGGACAGTGTCCGCATTAATTCAGAGATTATTTGAGGATCTACAGTGGATGATGCACAAATTACATACAGTATTGTTTTTCTAACAATAGTTATTGTTAAATGTATTTTTTAAGATTTAACTCCTGAGTTTAGTGTCACTTTAAACCAATCCCATGGACAGTGTCAAGGCAGATGTTGATTGTCCAACAACATGACAATTTAATTACCTATGGTGCGGTAAGGTGTGGGGCATGATATTGTTTGAGTTGAATGGCAGATTGTATGAATTGTTGGATAGAATAGTGGTAAAACATCTTAAACATTACATATGGTCCAGTTGAATGCGACAAACTACTACTAGGTACAATATGTCTAGATAAATTAAAACCCTAACAGACATATGGCTTGGCTGTTATGATGATCTACTTTAACACTTTCAGTATGCAAACAAGGAAAGTCCGAAGGCTTTCTTTGCGTACTTGTTCTGTGTTACTGACAAACATTGTTAAATCTAGAAGGTCAGAATGACAGCCAGTCAACTTGAATATTTGGAATGGAAAGTCAGCTATAGCAGCTTCCATGTTTCTGTTGGGAAAGGTTTCCTTTAACCAATGAGTTTGTATGAAACCAAGCCAAATCAAGAGCTTTTTTTTTGTTTTTTTTATGAAGCAAGAATATGAAAGCAAAGGGAGTATGCTACATAAAAGAAAGTCACACTGAAAATGGCATTTAGACAAATAGTGTAATAATTCAGAATATGTACTCGCTGCTAATGACTACGCTTTCCATTCAATGTCATCTTTGCAAATATTTCTCAGGATCGGTTCGCACTTAGTCTGTGCCGTATGTGTTTAACAGTCGCTATATATTTTAAACACTTCCAAAATTACGTATGGCATTTTTGTTCATTAATATCTTCAAATTCTGTAATCGTTTTTTCGGCAAATATAGATCACCATTTCATTCCAATTTCTGAAAATAGCAAACCAAAAGGACTGTGAAACTGTGTTGAATCTGTAGGCGAAAGTGGAGCCCTTTAGAACATGCTGTCAGAGAAGTGGCCGCACATACTGAGCCGTAACGCTGAACAGATCTGTCAGACGACAGAACTGTGGTGTCACCTTGTGGCCAGATATGTTATACATGAAATGCTTCACAGTGTGCAAAGAAATGTTTGTGTTAATGGATATTATTAATCAAATTAGGTAAAGAGCTTAGTTTATTTAAAAGATCATGTATTTATTTTAGTTACAACTCTGAAATTACCTTATGTGTCAATATCACCTAGAATAGATATAGATAAAGGGAATGTTTGTGCTCTTATATGTGGGGTCACCTTGTTAAGTATTGTGAGATTGTGCTCATTTTTTGTAGGCCAAATGCCACACTGGTGGTCACTTGATAGATGAGCCGTGCTGCGATAAATATTAAAATTAGTGACCATGTGATGGACAGTGATGATGAAGTTCATGTAGATATTAAAAAGAAACACCAGTCAAAAGGGTTATTTATTTTTCATTCTGGATAACGTGGGGAAGGGTCACCATCTGGCAGATACCACTGTGGGGATTTTTGAGTCCCCATTTAAACATTGCCCCTCCAAGATGAAGATTCGGTGGGAACCCAAAGTGAAATCAAAAGCTGATGGAGGTTACAGCATTTACCCCATTTACCAAACATAGTATTTTTTTATTGATGTTGTGTTCCTGTTAGAGAGCTGGCTTTCTTTGCCAATGACAATGCTGTCACCGGCATCAGAAGTGACAGTGAATCTCCCCAGCAAAAAAGAAAGCCTGACAGCTGTTCTAACCTTTCCCCACACTGTACAAAAATGAAAAGATTTGGGCTGCAGATTTTACACACAGGAAATATCATAATTGAAACTTTTATATCGAGTCAAAAACCTGCCAAATAATGTAGTAAATAGTGAAGTGAGGAAAAAAAATTCTGTCTCAAAATAAATCGCAATACACAGAAGAATGATCTTCAGATATAAAATGCTTCACCCATGAAACTGAAATAGTAAGGATGCAGTTTGAGAAGTACAGCCTACCCCTTTAAAATCAAATAATAGAACTGCACCCAATAGTCTGCACCCAGCACATACTGGACACAATATAAATGCAAATTACAATTATTAGTAGGATGGGGATGACTCTGGTATACCCCCTGAGATGAGACCAGAGTCCGTAACCACAACCTCTATTACACTGGATACCAAGTCTCTCAAACCATAATGGTAACAACTTTCCATTGTAATATTGTCAGTTTACGTACATCACGTGTTAATTGGACTTTGATTTAGTGTTTTGCATAGCTGAAAAAACTTTATTATTTAAATGTGTTTCCTTATGTTCAGGACAGAAAAATATATTTCTCCAATGTTTTGAAATGACTATTGATCGGGTAGATACATAAATATTACATGCAAAGATTACATATTTACCAATTGCAGCCAGTAGGGGTAAAACACCCAGCAGAATAAACATCTCATAAACCAGTAATGTTCTAAAACTAGAAAGCCAAAAATACCTTGCATTCTGAGTCCTAGCAGGGCTAAAGATACATTCCAGCAATTGAAACCGGTCTGTAAGTTATGAATGATATCCAGCAGGAACTGAAACTGTATTTTTGTACTTCACTGAAGGAAGTACTACAGGTTGTTTCAAATTAACGCTTGTAGTGGGGCTACACCCCGTACTGGAACGGTTAGCTGCTTGTTTTGGTCTAGGGATGAAAATTTTACAAAAATAAACTCACTTGATCCGTGGTCTGCTGGACTGGTCCCCACAACTCCTTCCCTGGACATCCATTAGACGTGAGGATGCCGAGGGACATACCACAGTCGGAGCAGATAGGGGTGAGAGGTGAGCGCTCTCAGGTCTTAGGATTAGGCGAGTATATCCTCTTTATTTTAGCCCCTAGAACAAGACGAGCACCTAACCCTTGAAGCATGGAGGTAGCCCCACTGCAGGGGTTAATGTGAAAAAAAACCTGGCGTTCTGTAATTTACCTATATTCTCTGTAATGGAATGTAGCCAGAATACAGAGAGCACCTCACAGGGTCACTGCAAGTACACCTCCTAAAGCCTTTTGAATGGTACATACTATCGTTCTGCTTCCAGCATCCCCAGTCACAGTGAAACTTCCAAGGGAGGTTTTACATCTTATTTATGCACATAAATGTGTGTGTGCTTTTACATTGTCGGGTCTATTCACTAAATGGTGAAGAGTTTGGAGAAGGCAGGAGAAGTGAACAATCTAGGACAACATAGCTGAGCTGGAAAGTGAGCTGAATTGAAGAATGTTTCCAAATCAGCTATTTTGGCCTAGATTGTTTACTTCTCCTGCCTTCTCCAAACTCTTCACCCTTTTGTGAATAGCCCTGTAGGCTTTCTATATGTAAGAGACCACAAAAAGTGTAGGAATAAGTGTTTTTTAGATCTTGGGAAGAGGTTCTCGGATTACTAGATTTCTAACAATAAAGAGACTTCAGTGTCATGCAGCGATATCTGTCTGGAAGACTGAAATGCTGAGAATGCTGAAGGCTTGAGTGCAAAATGTAAAAAAAAAAAAAAAAGTTTACAAAAGCCATGAAACCGTTTTACTTCCCCTTTCAGTTGAACAGCTTCATGTGTTTTAGAAGGGAAGTTTACAAACAGTTCTATACGTTGCTACAAAAACATTTATCTGCCAGAATGTCAGTGTGGGTGTTGTAATCTGTGTCTTTTTCTCTTACAGGAAATAAAATCCCCATATACAAATGAGGCGACTTGTTGAACACTTACCTAGTTGCTGAGAATGCCTCCGCTGTTACAGGGAGCTGTGGCTGTCGCGAATGGGGAGTTCAGCAGTGAAGACAGCCTGCTCATAGTATGGGGCGGCTTGGCTCTACTATCAAACTTTCTTTTCATTACCGTCCTCATCTTCCTCTGCTCTAGCTGTGACAGGTGAGATCACATCACTTTCTTCTGCACTGAGGACTAGATAAATGTCACACCAAGGATGTCTGACAGCAGCCCCAAAACACAAAACAGAATACTGTTGCATAAAATGTCATTTTTTTGTGTCATATTTGCCCCATTCGCAAGATTTTTCTCTACTTCCTGTCCTGTAAACACAAAAACAAAGAAAATGCACAACAATTCATCCACCAAAACTGCATTTACATTTGCTCTTGTGAGAAATGGCAAAATTGAATGTTCTTGGGGTATTTTCTCTTCTGACTGATTGTTCTTAAAGCCAAGCTCCGGTAAAAATGGTCATTTACACACCGCCCGGGGTGTATAAATTATCATTAACCTGCAGGGAGTGGGGGATGCGACTCGAGCAATAAAAGGCTCCAGTTGCATCCTTGTCACTCCTTGCTACTTGGCCATTCACAAAACACCTTGAGGGGAATTGATCAAAATCTGGAGCAGCTGTGCATGGCAACCAATCAGCTTCTCTCTTTCATTTTCAAATCTCAACTGAATAAACTGAAGATAGAAGCTGATTAGTTATTATGGGCAACTGCTCCACATTTTGGCTGCTCCAGTTTTGATAAATTCCTTTCCTTGTATTTTTTTCAAACAATACAAGACATCCTGGGATTGGAGTTGGGGAAATTGTCACATCCCCGCCTCCTCCTCTCCTTCTCCAGTCACAGAATGCCTTGTATTCAGTCTAGTCAAGAGGGGCGTTTGATGTGACTGGAGCACTTCACTGCTTGAGTCGCATCCCTCTCTCCTCGCAGTGCCCTGAAGCCCTGCATTATGTGTTGGAGCCAGCATGCTGCAAAGTAGAGTTTTTACACCTTGCACCCACCTCAGAGGCATAACTAGAAACCTCAGGGCCCCAGTGCAAGAAACCATGAAGGGTCCCCCTACTGCAGAGCATTAGCCTTCTGGGAGCTGTAGCCATGATGAATATAAATTAGGATTATTGTCACACTCGCACATTGTAGATCACACGTTTTTCTTTTTATTTCCATTTTCCTTTCATTGTCACCCCACACAGCAATCTCCTCCATACAGCACAGCCAGACACGCCCCCCTCCAATACTCACCTCAGAGCTCCGCCCCTTTTTGCTGATCAATGCTCTTCTCCCTCGTCAGCATCTGCATAAGTAGCACAGAACCCCACCCTGCTATAGAATGGGAGCTGCTGATTGGAGGGCGGGCGGACAATTGCAGGGTGGGTCTCCGAGCAAAGGACTGCTGGGAGCTGTATGTCGGCACATCTGCGGTTACCGGGACCGGAGCCCCTTCTTCCTTTCTGCCCCCCCAAGTGGCGGAACGCCAAGGCCCGGTCGCAATTGCGTCCGCTGTGACCCTGACTGTTCCGCCACTGACCACCTACTACACATAACAGTGTGTATATTTATTATTTTGCCTGGAGAATGACTTTAGGAATATAAATAACATAAATCATCTGCAGCAGAAGTAAGCACTAGTATATTATAAATAGTCCTGTCAATTCCGATAACACTTGTATCACTGTGTTGTGAGTAGACATATTGACCACAGAAGTGCCGTAAATAATAATCCCATAGACCGGTGATGATGATTGTCTTTGGCAGATAGAAACAATGTAAAAAAAACAAAAATCTGCTCGCTGCTCTGGCAATCAATGCAGTGTTATATTGGTTTATTGGCAATGTTGCATTTATAAGCCTGTGCCATCATTTGAAAAGTTATGGCTCAGCTTATTGAAATACTCCCATCTAGGTTTGATCATTAAAAACAAATCCAGTGTAAAAAATGTGCGTCTTGGTGTGTAATACCTGTTCGCGCTTCTGTTTTCTAAAGTAAAGAGAGTTAACGTGGACTTGTACCCCCTTTGGCTAAAAATTACATCACCATGCAGCTCTGTGGCTGAGATGAAATCATCTTACATTCATTAAACATATTTTAATTTTACACACAATTTCTTGTTTTCTACTTCCCGATTCCGTTGGGCAAAAGTTATGTAATGTGCCCAAGCATTGCATCCTGGGAAGGTTACATCAGCAGAGCATTGCTGGGACATCATCTGCAATCTCGTGAGATCTCAGGGAAAGGCATTTTCCTCCCCTGAGAATATGTGCATGGTCACATGTCCTAGTCACATGTACCAGTGTTCCAGGAAGAAGGGAGATGGATTGATCTGCCCTTAGTAAAAATGGCCACTGTGAGAAGAATGGAGAGGAAAAGAAAAACCTAGGTATGCAGAGTATAAAAAGCCTGCAATGATCTATAAGCTTGTGTTTGTAGATTGTCATTACTATACATTTCTAAAGGTGCCTTTGTTGTCATTTTGAAGATATGGGTAAAGTTCCCCTTTAACATTCCAACGTCTGTCCACTCTATAGCTCAAGATAGACCAAACATTTGCTAAAACAACTCCTTTGCAAGAAAAGGCTGTGAAGGAAGGAGAGACGTGCAGGAAAGGTGTTCCAGTGTTGTATTAAAGAAGACATCCCTTTAAGATGTGTGTGTGCTCTCAGCTCATCCATGCAAGCTAGCTGTGAAAAGCTCAGATAACATGCACATCAAAAAGGAATGCAATGGATGCTTTAATAATAATGATATAACATGATATACAGAGAGCCCAGTGAATGCATTCAACTGTATCAGGAAATGACAGGAAAATTTTGGAGAATGATGACACAAGTTCAGCTTTCAGAGGTCAGCAACGCAAAATAAAATGTTACATTTGCAAACTTGCTTTGAGCTCCTGGATATATTAAAGACGCCGAGGTGTTTTACAAGTGCACTTATTTTATCTTATTTTTAGGTTGAGGCTTGTTCATATTTTTGTATGTGTCACATAAATGAAATCTATACCATTGGTTAATTTTATACAGAGTTTTGGAATCGGTGAAATGTTTCATTCTGATATCCGTATCATGTCATCCGTTTGTCATTATCCAAATATAAAGGACCGTCCTTATTTCTTTGATGGTAGTGGGTGCTGGTTAGTCTTTCCAAGCATCCTCTTCTAGGTATTACATTTATAGGAGAATCATTCTTTTTCACTTTTTATTGTACAGAGGTAAAAAGACAAAGCAACAGAATGGAGACCATGAAAACCTGATGAATGCGGTAAGTCTAATCACCTGACTTTTGTCGCTACCACAGCTTAAGAACCAGTCATGTATTGGATAGAATGTGTGTCCCTCTTTGCTAGTTTATCCATGACACCCCACATTATAACAGTCGTCTTTGTATTGTAATGACACTTTAGGAAGAACTCCAGGCAAATAAAATCTTAACCCTTGCAGTGGGGCTACCCCTGCATTGCAAGGGTTTAATGTTCATTTTGTCTAGAGAGCTAAAATAACAGCATTATACTCACCCAATCCACGATCCTGGCTGGCTGTTAGACTGGTGCCTGGAGCGCCTCTCTCCCTCCGCTCTAGGGTTCTTAGGTCCTGTGAGTTATCACGTCAAATACAGTATATAGGAAGTGAGAACGTCAAGAAACTTTCCATGGCGGGAGCGGAGGAGCAGGCAGGTTGAACGGTCGGTCTTGGAGCCAGCCAAGATCGCAGTTTGGGTGAGTAAATCCATGTTACTTAAGCTCCCTCCTCACAGCAGAACAGTGAGTACACAGGGGATTTTTTTTTCTGGTTAGATGAGAGTTCTGGTTAGTTGAATACCGGATAACTGAGAGTTTACTGTATAAAGTTTTTTTTCATGGCTTTTATCAGAAACCCCTACTGCAGGTCCCCGTCATTGATTAAAAAAAAAAGTCTGAATGCCAAGGCACTTGGTCACATGATCTCTGCTAAAGCAGATGATCGGCCAGGCTGAGCTTTGATCTTCTCCAGAGTTGATATCACATGACCAGATGCCTGGCCTCACATATGTGGCTACCACTAAAGGAAGCCTGGAATAAAAAAAGTTTTCTGCAGAAATAGGTATTTGAAATGTTAGTTTTTGTTTATTCATCCCAGGAAAACTGCTGACATAACTTTACTGTAATATTAAAGAAATGATAGAAAAGTGTAACAGATCCAGGACATACAAATTCATCAATATTTAGCATAGGTAATATCTAAGAATACTTGGGAAGTTGTTTATTAATTAGAAAATCTGTCTAGGCCTCTGATTGTTTGGCTGCAAGATGTATATTCCTTGGTTCTATTTTATGTTATAACATGAGGGTGGAAGTAGCAATGACATGGAATATGTAGAGGTGCATATTATTGTGTCAGCCATTGGCACGTTTAGAAGTTGTGTAGCAGCTGAACCTGTCTATTGAACTATACACTACTGCAGGGGAAGGCAACCTCTGCACTCCAGCTGTGGGGAAACTACAAATCCCAGCATGCATCTGCCTTTGGGAGTCATGCCTGTGGCTGTCAGTCTTGCAATGCCTAATGGAATTTGTAGTTCCACAATGCTGGAGTTGAGGCTGCCTACCCCTGTAGTACTTAGTACTGCTTACATAACAGAAAAAAATATAAGGGAAATCTTACTGATGTGCAGCAGATGAAAGTAAATATATGAGAGTAACTTGGGGGGTAGCCATTGCTGACTTCCTTCTGAAAATGACTTGGATTGGAACAGTACAAATGGGCTGATCAGTAAGGTTATAGAAATGTCAGAGGTTCCGGAGGTTTTACTGTTCCTGGTTAGTGATTCAAACAACAAGGGTCCGCATGACCGCCAGGAAACTGACATTTTCAGGAGGAAAGCACAGCAGTCACATCCTTTATATTTCTACCACAAGTTATAGGATGCTGCCATAATTATTACTTGACTTGCCAACTTTTCCCTTCACATATCAAGAAAGGATGATCTAGGGATGCACCGATACCGATACTAGTATCGGCCTAGGCTTCGGAGCATTTGGGGGCGAGTACTCATACTCGCCCAAATGCTCCGATGCCTAGCCCGATACTTCCGGTATCAGGAAGCCAGGCAGCGCGTCATTACACGCTTCCTGATTGGCCGGGAAGCTGGTTCCATGCTCTCTCGTCATGAGGTGACAAGGGAGCATGGAGCCGGCTTCCTGGCCAATCAAGAAGCCCGGCAGCGTGTAATGACCCGGTGCCCGGCTTTCTGATTGGTCGGAAAGCCAGCTGCATGCTTCCTTGTCAACTAGTGACGAGGGAGCATGGAGCCGACTCCCTGGCCAATCGGGAAGCCGTGTGGCAAGTCTTTACACGCTGCCCGGCTTCCCAGCTAATCAGGAAGCAAGGTGGCGTGACGTTACACGCCGCCTGGCTTCCTGAATGGGACTTCCAGTATTCTGTATCGGGGAGTACCAAAAAAAAAAATTCTGTACTTGTACTTGATCCCAAAATACCAGTATCTGTGCATCCCTAGCATGATCCCTCTTAAAATAAATTGCTCTTTTGTACTGTATTCACAATACAGTAGAGATAGATATATAGGCGACTCAGGCGTGCGGCACCAGTAGCTTAGCTAACAATAGATGGTTATTCTGTAAACATGTCATCATTATTTTGTACAGTATTGGCACATAGTGTTCAGTTACAATGAAATTGCACTCGTACCTGTTGTTCCAGTGTAATCATTATATATATTTTGCCATCAGCCTTCTGACAAAGAGACACACAGCCATTCTGTAACAAGCCTGGGGACAGAAGCTCCGGCCAGCAGTTACCGAAATGGTGCCATCAGCACTGGTGACAGTAAGTATAAAGTAAAACATGGCCTCTATTTTTAATGTTGTACTATCCAAAATGAAAGAAAAAACAATTGATGTTTTTTGGCAAAAAGCTGAATAATCTACAGGGCTGTAAGTACCAGGACAGTTTCCTCAGTGGGTACAACAGTCTTGTCCTGGTTTGAGCGATGATTAGTTTTATGAATGCAGTGACATTTTCAGTGACTTTTCTGTGTGAGCCCCCAATTTAGGACTTTAATGTGAAATGGTATTAGGGGTGTGCTCTCATAGCAAAAAGTAGAACATACAGGGCCGTTCCTAAAATGAGGCAGTCTGAGGCTGTTGCCTCACACAGCATCTCATGGGTGGACGGTAGTTAGAGTGGCATGGCTGCCCCTTCCTGGCCAGAGCATCCCAGGTTGCTAAGATCCAGATGGAGAGATGGAGGCATGCATATCTCCCCACCTAGCTCTTAGCAACCTGGGACGCTCTTGCCGGCGTCCCGCTGAGCTCCTGGCAACCAGTGACGCCACTAGTTGCCAATAGCTCGGTGGGATGCCACAACCCCACCCCCCTCCCCCTAAAGGCGGCAAAAAAAGCTTGGGGCGCCTCTGATAACAGAGCACTAAGCTCTTTGCAGCAGATGGAAAGCATACCATTCTCGAAGCTGAAATCTGGGCACAAAATCTGAATTCATATACAGTGGTACCTCGGTTCATGAACTTAATTCGTTCCACGATTCTGGTTGTGAATGACTCAAATTTCCCCATAAGGTTCAATGTTAATACGGTTAATTCGTTCTGACCCCTACGAACCTGGTCGCGAACCAATTTTGGTCGCAAACAGAATACAATTTTCCCATAGGGTTCAATGTAAATGAGGTTAATCCGTTCTGAACCATATGTAAATTCATTACTGTTCTGCACTTTCTTTTTACCACCATGCTTGCACTGCACTTTCTTTGTACCACCATGCTTGCACTGCACTTTCTTTGTACCACCATGCTTGCACTGCACTTTCTTTTTACCACCATGCTTGCACTGCACTTTCACTTTACCACCATGCTTGCTCTGCACTTTCTTTTTACCACCTTGCTTGCTCTGCACTGTCTTTTTACCACCATGCTTGCACTGCACTTTCACTTTACCACCATGCTTGCTCTGTACTTTCTTTTTACCACCATGCTTGCACTGCACTTTCAGTTTACCACCATGCTTGCTCTGTACTTTCTTTTTACCACCATGCTTGCTCTGCACTGTCTTTTTACCACCATGCTTGCACTGCACTTTCACTTTACCACCATGCTTGCTCTGTACTTTCTTTTTACCACCATGCTTGCTCTGCACTTTCTTTGTACCACCATGCTTGCTCTGTACTTTCTTTTTACCACCATGCTTGCTCTGTACTTTGGAGCCATGCTGGATTGAATAATACTGTACAGTACTGTATGTGGTAAAAAGCTTCACAGCAAGTGTGCACAGGTCTGTCTGCGACCGTGATCTCAACTAAAGGAAGCCACGACCACGTGTCAGAGCGGGGAAGATGAGCTAAAGCAGAGACACCGGCACTCCAAATTTGCAAAATACGTCTATTGACGTGCATCGTGGTAAAAAGAGTGGGGAAGATGGCTGCAGTTGTGTTCGTAACCCGATTTTGAGTTCGCGAACAGAAGCAAAATTTTGCTGAACTTCCTGTTCGTGAACCGAATTGTTCGCGAACAGAAGCGTTAATGAACCGAGGTATTACTGTATATCCCTCAATAGTCACATACAATATAATTATGCTTTGTGCACACCAAATCTCTTTGTAAATCCAGAGATAACCTTGTAAAAAGCTGTTGTAATAAATACATATACAATGTATATACAAATATTTAAACACACCCTTACCTCTCAAATGGATTTCTAATTCAGTTCAGCCAGCTTTGTGACCCAGGCGCCCCTCCCAGGCAGCATCACCAGTACCTCTGTTTTCTGCACTGCAATTTATAGGAATTCAGCTTGGAAATTTTTTTTTCATAAAATGACATAAAAACTGGCATTTATAGGCCCCGTTGGCTGAACATAATCTCATCGTCTTGTGTAGTCATATAGATTAGAAAAATGTGCCATCAGCATTGGCTCCATTTAATTGAGATATTAATGGCCACCAATTATTGGCTTGTAAACCATTCACTGTGTTCCTGATCACTTAACACATACTTTATAATCCCAGTTCATGAAACATCTTATTTATTGCCCAGCGCTAGAATATTACCATCCTCACATCTGATTAAGTACTTCAGTAGTCTCTAAATGGGTACTGCACAATTTTATGTATTTATCACACAGTTCCGTTTTCTGGATCACACATACTATATCCAAGATCAAAGTGACACCGTCAGTTGTGGCAACAGCTAGATAACTGGCTTAAATAAAATGCATTAATGCTCTTCTTAATTGAGTCAACTCATTGAAAACATTGTGTAGCCAATATCTTATGGCAAAAGTTGCCAAGCATGGAGGATGAATGAGGCTATGTTAAAAACCGGGCTCCCTAGTGGTTAAGCTACAGATTTCTATATTTTATAACTAAAATACAAAAATATGGAAGAGAAAGCATTTAAAAATATGAAAGTCACAACCAAACTGTATCTAGGATAGACACTGCAGTACTTGATCAAAAAATGTGCCGATTAGAAATCTGCTACACTTTCCTTTTCTGGGCAAATTTTTTGTTTATAACTAATTGTAAAACTTGCTGAAACACTATTTCAAAGGGGATCAGTGTTTATATAAGCCTGCACAATTTTTATTTTTTTTAACGTTTTTATTCTTGATGCAGTTAGGGGGTTTGATTGCCTGTCAAATCTTTATTGTTTTGTGTCCCATGCTGGGATATTTGCCCTTACACTTTGCCCTACCATGATATCCAAGGTGCGTCTGTGAGCTAAACTTTCTGGTTCCTTTCTCTTCACATAAATGTAGAATCTGCTAGTGATCAGTAACAGCAGCATTATGTTGATGTTGGCCCAATAGTGGATTCTACATGTATAGCTATACTGTATGTAGAAAGCATTCTAGTTACGTGCACCAGAGTCCTGGCATGTGATGTGTGGCAGAAGATATTCCCTTTGCGGCTAACACCAGACAGGGCATCAAACATTGTTTCACACAAAGTAAAAGTAAAAAAAATGGGCATTTCTCAGATTCCAATGCAATGTACAGTGTCCGTTTTTTTATTCTGCTTCAATATATATTGATATATTGGTTTGCCGCAGCATTGTTTTTCTTTTCTTTTTGTTTTCAGTCTCAGAGGACAGTGCAGCAACCTGCGTCCCAACCTATGAAGATGTGCAGAGCTCTCTTCCTGACCTGTGTGACCCTCAGGACTTCACAGGGAAATCTCTAAGATGCCCTCAAACCAGAGAGCTGCCGCAGATCCCTCCTGACAACCGGGAATCCGTCCTATCATCGGGAAGCCTAGAAAACGATGTCCCTCTCTATAATGAGGGGCCGTACGAGGTGCTGAAAGACAGCTCTTCTCATGACAACATTATAGAAGACTGCCTCTATGAGACTGTGAAAGAATTAAAGGATATTAGTTCATCGACCAGTTCGGAAGACAAAAATCTCACCACGAACGCAGCACAGGCAAGCCCGGCAATCACAGAGAGCAGAATGGAGGCTGCAGTGGAATACGCCTCAGTGGACCATAATAGAAAGAGCAGGCAGAGCATCAATACTCAGAGCGCAGCCAGCACACCAACATCTCAAGATGATGACATCCCCCCACCACTGCCTAAGAAACTTCTGGATGAGAATGAAAATGTACAAGGCAAAGAGCCTGAGGAGGAGAAACAGGACCAAGAGGGGAATCTGGAGGGAGCAAGCCAGGATGACAAGGCAGGTTATCACTGATTTAGTAAAGTGCAGAATATCTAACGTATCACATTAAAGCTGAACTCCAGGCAGATTTAAAAGACACAAATGAATGCAGCATTGTCATTATTACCGTAGTACATCACTAAATGCTTTTTTTTAATGTAAGCACCTGGATTTGACTTGGTATCAGCCTCTTCCACTCCAATGTGTAGCACAGCTCAGACTGGGAGAGAAATAAGCAGGACAAGCCAGTCAGCTGTGCTCCAGTGCTAACATTCTGATAGGAGGAGAGAGACACAGATAATCCTTTCACTGTCCAGTTACAGGCATGGGCAGGGGAAGAACTGGAAGTGTAGCCTGTAAGTGTAATGGTGGCCATACACTGTGAATTTCGTCCAATTCTTGAGGGACCAGCCGAATTTTGCACAGTGGGTGCCATTGTCGGCACACTTTCGGACAGCATCTCTCGATCAGATGATTGAAGGAGCCGGTCAGAAAATCTTAGAAATTAGGGATGTTTAGATACCAGTGCTGATACTTGGCATTTTCACAAGAACTACCAGGGAAGGTACTTAAGAGTACTGATAAAATTTTGTTTATTGTCATGTGACAGTTTTTCTAAAGCAATACAGACTAATGATTTCAGGACAGTGGTGGAGCACCAGAGCCCGGTCCCAGCTGCAACCGCTGCAACCCTGGTAGTTCTCATGAAAATACCAAGTATCTGCACTGGTACTCGAAAAGTATCTGTTAATCCCTACTCGAAAGCATTGATGGAAGAACCTGTTCTGTTTTCATTGTTCAGCTCAAGACCAGCTTTACAGTTCTTCCATACCCACATAACGATGTAGAGTTGCCATAACCTGGGCACCTATAACTATAAGCTATGAACCATGCGCCTGCATGAGACATTTTCCAGCTGATCATATGTAAGTTCTCACATGCAGGGTATTAGATGAGTTGTTTCCCTAGCATTTCATACACAGGGGAAAGTTAAAGTTGAACTCTAAGCAGATATAAAAATACACTAATTAAAAGGAAAACTATGAGGTTAAGTCTTTTCCCCATAGTTCTCACGGTAACGGGAGGGCACAAACTAGCATCCTCCCGTCACCCTAGGCTCAGCTGTAGCTCGCGGTATACTGAGACGCCGCGGTTGAATCGGATCCCGACAATTGTGCCGTGATCCGCCCAGCTGCGTGACTGACAGCTGGCTCTGCCTATCTAGAGGCAGAGCCAGCTGTGCGCGCCCCCTCACCGTCCGTTCCGCCAGTCAGCGCTGGCGGAGCGGGGAGGGGGGAATCCAGTCCCTCCCCTGTCACGGCAGAGAGGCGTGACAGGATCGAGAGGTGAGCGAACGCCGTTATGTGTTCGCTCACCTCCCGATCTACTGAGCCGACCTGTGACAGTCTCATTGTCACAGGTCGGCTAGAACTATGAGGTGAGTGAAAAGCACTCACCTCATAGTTCTCCTTTAATGCAGTTCTGCATTCATTAAAATAATGTAATGCCCTTGTAAATAAAACTAGTGTAAGTAGCTTTATCTGTTTTAATATCAGTCTCTCATTATCACCTGTACAACAGCAGTCAGACTGTGAGATGGAGGGACAGTACTAGGAGCCAACCAGGTGTGCCACATGCACATGGCAAGGAGCATTCTGACAGGAGGAGAGAGCATAGGGATGACACATCAATATGCTGCTGCTCCTTCACTGTCCACTCACAGACTAAGAGTTGGGAGATGACCAAGCTATTTTGATTTACTGAAATGAAGAAAAGTCAGGTCACCAGCCTGTCTTTGCTGGCTGGTAGGGCTGAGTAAATCTCAGGAAATGCTGTGCAAAGTTACATATACCTTTTTGGTAGGTAAAACCATTTCCAAATATGTGTTTTTAACGATTTTCCTTGAGGTGAGCTTTAAACGGCTGACATTACTAATCTAATGCATGCGAACAATAACTACATATAAATTATAAAAAAAACTAAGAGACTGGGCCTTTGCATGAGAACTTAACTTTTTACTTTATTGACCTGGGGCATTTCCAAGAGTTTGCAGGCATTCCTTTAGTGGCTGTCTGATGGTGCAATCGGCATCCTTTGTGAAGAAATTCTCCAAGAAAATCATTTTCAGGACAAGTCATCTGCAGGGTGTATTCTGTTCAAAGAATTTGTCTTTTCACAGATCTCAGTACAGTTTTACACTAGTTCAGAAATGGCTTTTAGTAAATAGAAATCTATTTGGTTTAATGAACCTGTGCCAAATAAAACAAAATGGCACATAGCTGTTGGGCTGATCCAGAGGAGGCTGCCAATGGGAATAATGAAAATCAGGGGGCTTGCAGCACATGTTGCAGGGAAGGTTTGGACAGGCTTAATGTTTTACTGAGTGCTGGTGTATACTGTTCCAGGTCAATATTCCTTTCATCCCCAAAGTCATGGAGCACTAAATACGTTTTGGGAACACGCATGAAGTACCCTTAGAAGGTACCTCAATGCCCTAGAATGATTGTGTTCATCTTTAAAAATAATTGGTAATGTGCATTAGTAAGAATCTAAATCTGCACTCTTATATTGGTATAGTAATAGCAAAGTAATACATCTCAGGTATAGCTGTTATTTGCTTTGATTCTCTCCCTGTCAGAACTGAAATGTCAAGCTGTAAGGCTCTCATGGAAGTTGACTTGGCTAACAGGCTATTGGAGGGGATTCAATCCAATAGTTAACTAGCCTTTAGATTTCTGCAATCCTGACAGCATCTTTCTTAAATGCGATTTATTTTGGATTGTCTTAGCACTGGGCTCAAGCAGGAAACTGGACAGCCTCAGAACGTGAGACTTCTGTTTTGAGAGGGAGTGAATACAATGAAGGCTGATGATACACAGGTGATGTCACTGTTGTAGATAGGCAAGCGAGTGATTACTTGTGCCCAGTGTGCAGAGGGGAAGCCTCTGAAGCAGCACCCAGAAGATTATGGCTATCATTGTACAGTATGTAGCACAGACTACAACAGTGATTTTTCAGGATCCCTGGGGACCCTACAGACATTACATATGCATACATACATTGAGCCAATGTACTGTTGCAAAACAAACTTCCTTCCCAGCATTCCACTTTTTAATAAAAAAATCAAATATTCTGAGATGTAAAGTTACACAGTCATAACCGTTCAAGATAGAGATATAAAGGATAGAGATTCAGATTATTACAAATGATCAACCAGTGCTTGGTTCTCTGTGGGATCTTGGATACTGTGTATGTATGAAGGTTCCCATGTTCCTTGCCAGCTCCATTTACATAATCACTCATCATTAGCCGGTAAAAATAAGGTCTTTGTTCCAGAGAACGGGTATAATAACCCAAGAGGATTCAAGCCAGAATAAATTGTGCTCTCTTCATGGTATAGACATACATATTGATCCTTTTCTTTTCTTTTAGAGACAAAGTTGCGTATCCTACAAATCTCGAGAAGAAGACCCATGCCTGACAGACGATGACGTATGTATTAGCATATTAATCCCCATAGAAGCCCTAGGGATTTCTGCTCTTTGAATTAAGCCATCTTACCTGGCTAAAGACAGGCTTCATATTGTCAGCCGGTTGTGTGATGTGATGGGGGCTACGACATGTTTGATCTCCCGGGTTGTCAAGTGCATGCCTTTTAGCTCTGCTGGATTCATACAATAGAGAAATCAAAGAAAGACTGTTATTGTATAAACAGAGTCAAATATTCAGATAAGAAAGTATTTCTAACGTATCCTGTAAATCTACTTACAGCATATACTGTGAGTAATGTTGCTGTGATATATGTATGAAACATAATTTTAGTAGAAAACATTTATTATCAGCATTAAGGAGGAAACCACCCACAATGCTGATTGGTTGGGGTCTTTTTGCCAAGAAACCCAATCGACAGTTGCGTCAGCGAGGGGACGTGATTTGGACTTGGAGCAAGTAGAAGGCTCTTAATCAGTGATACTATAAACAAACATTCTACTACATATTACACTCTTTTTCATACTTTCCATTGCCAGATGTTGCAGTCCGTATCCCCCTTTCATTGCCATCCACTGCAGACGCAACTTGGAACTTTTGGTGACCAGTAATGCATCTTTCATCTACCATCACAACCTATGGTTTGTGTTACCAACTGACTCTCAAGCTTCTTGCAACCCCAGGTTCCCATAAGTCAGTGTCTGTGAATGTTCTCATTCATCCAGATCATTGTATATCTGTAAAAAAATAAATCAAGGCAACTGGACTTTTTTTCTTGAAGAGGTTTCACTGGTCATCCGACCAGCTTTCTTAGTTCATAATCTTCTATAATATAGTAGGTTTCCATAAGTTGCAGCAGAAGGGAGGTTGGAACAGGCTCTCTTCTACAAATGGAGTTGCTGCTTACGAGTTTATAGTTCATCACTAGCTGTTCAGTTTATCTATAGTTATAGTCAGTTAACCAACTTGCATTTGTCTACCTTTTCTATATCTCAGAAGCAAAGTGCACACGCGCGAACTGCAAGATAACCTTTATTCCACCACTCGGCACAGTGATCGATTCCCCCCCCCATGTACATTGCCACCCTACCCATAGGCTTTAGTCCTCAGAGCCTTCCAATTTTGATGCCCCCAAGACTGACTCAAGTGTCATTTTTAAATACCAGTCTGTTCAACTGCTGTTGGTTAGATATATTCTATTTTTTTTTTTTTTTTTTACTGTACCCCTTCTATTTTGTTGCCCTCATACACTCTTGTATACCACTACTACGTCCCTCTCTGGTAGTAGCCCAAAAGCCTTTTCTCTAATCAGGGATGTCCTCATGTCTAATGACCATGGCTCTACATGTGTATTCTACAATGTGAGGGGTCTCAATTCTCCAACTAAAAGGCACCAAATATATTGAAAGCACCAAATAGTTACTCTGCAAATGTGGTAATGCACCAAGAGACCTACTTTGCAATCTCCACTATTCTAAAACTACATTCAAAATATTACCTTATCTGGTTCTTCTTCTTCATCCTCTTGAAGAGCCAGAGGTATGGTCATTGGACAGGAGAGAAGCACACCCTTTACTTTGAAAGCACAAATATGTGATCCAGAGAGTGTATACATTTTTATTAAAGGAACACTGCTTTCCAACATAGAACACATGCTTGCCAGTATCTATTGCCGTAACAAACAATCCATCTTGTTCATAAAACACGCTCTTAAAAAAAACAAAAAAAAACCTGTAGAGTTTAGGGAAGGTAAATTGATAGTGGCAGGAGATATTCATTTCTATTTTGATCTAGATGTCCTGTCAAAAAAACACCTGGCCTTCTCACTCTCATCTGGCATCTCTTTACTTTAGCTACATAAGTAGCTCATTTTTACGACCAGGCTGGATTCCTTGTTGCACTACAGCAATGAGCCAGCCAAAGCATTTTGTGAAAGTCACTGACCCGATGGGTTCTCCCCACTAAATTATAGAAGATTCCAGGAACATTTTACAGTGCACCCAAAGGAAAGCATGGACCCTACAATGCATACAAGTAAAGAAGAATATAGACAAAGTTGTATACCAAGATCTTATCGGATTTATACCCAGCAGGGAGGCGAGAGATAATGCCCTGAGAACTTTCTCTCTGATTCACAGAGCCAAACATCACATCACAGTGAATTCATGACCTTAACCTCTTGGTCTCGGCCAACTGCTGGAGCTGTTGTCAAACCCTGGTTACCTTTGTCCAGACTTACTAGTCAGAAATGTTACCATTCACTCATTTGTTTTTGCCTTTATTTGCACAGAACGAATGTTCAGAGTTTTGCAGGACAAATGGCTCTGTGCATTTTTATAAATACACCCTTTTGTGTCTCTGTGGGATTGAAGAACGACATAGCTACTCCTTACTGGGTTGTCTACCTACTAACCTATATAAGGAGCCTTATTTAGGAATGATATATTGTACTTATGTGTTAGTTTTGCATAATAATGTCCATCAGCCTTCCTCTAAGCTGATCGATATTTGAATCTGGCTGCATTCCACTCCTCTCCTCCTCTTCCCTATAACTTTCCTGTGTAACTCCTACCCTGTGTTTAAGATGTTTGTGATAATGCTTTCTGACACATTGATTGACGACATGTACAACTTTTTGCAGAAAGCAAAATACCAACGTCAAATGTTTCCCTTTATGAAACCTGAATAGAAATAAAATAAAAAATAAATTTAAAAAAACAGTTGTACCAGCACTGCCAATCTACTCTTACACTCCCACTGGTTAGACAGCTGCTTGTGTTTCATCAGTGTCACCTTCAGAAAACCAGTGCTTTCCAATGTGGACTGAGATATGCAAGCATTACTGTACTGCAGAAATCTATTGAGAAACAATAGGTATCCAAGGCTGACATGGAGAGAGCTGAGCAGCTTCGATCAGAGGTAGTTGTGAAGCTGCTTGTGGCTGTTTGCTGGCGCTGTTATTTGAAACATTCAGTCGCTGAGGGTTCTGAATGAAGAGACCTCCACTGATCACCTCCAAAGGGAAGGTGTGTGCGTCTAGGTATTCCACATTCATACCAACAACTTCTGTTGTTCACAGTACAGATGCTGTAGGTCTTTCAGATGCATGCACTCTCTGGTGTCTGTAAACCTTTTATTATAAAAAAAAAATGACCCAGCAAACAGTAATGCTTGCTGTAATCATACCCCTGCCTTGGGCTGGCCATGCGTGCATGTGCTTGGTCATTTGTGTATCCCAGACTACATGACCAAGCACAGGGAGTATTTTGAAGAATATCTGAAAACAAATCAATTAAAATGGCTAATTTGTACTTAATTGGCAGATTTACTTTACTGGAAAAATAAGAGTTTTTACCCTTCCCAGTTTTCCCTGCTTCCCTCATCTGCCTCCAGCCCACCTAAGCATTATCTGCTACCTCTGGGTTTAACGGAACACGATACTCCCCATGGCTACCCACAGTACAGCATCTGGTGTCTGAGAGATCATTTACCAGGCCCAAGAACTGATGTGTAGGTGGGGGTAGCTTATATAGCCCAGTGTAAAAAATAAATCAGGATGGCATTGGAGCTCAGGAAGGTAAGTACTTGCTACTTATGCTCCCTCCAACTAAGTAAACCTGTTACTTTGCCCAGTGCAGTCACATTAGAAGGTGACTTGAAACACATCTCTTGCCATATTTGTAATGCTTAGCAATCTGAGATTACCTGAGATGAAATCCTTTATATTCCTTATTTAACTTTACTTGCTATATAAAACATTTACTTTTTCAATATTTGAACTTCTTGTTTCCCTTTTTAGATTTCTGCAATGTATTCAAGAATTTCCAGGGCTGGACAATCCCGACTAAATCAAGAAGATGTTTCCCATTATTCTTACATCCAGGATGTTGAACTATCCCCCACTACCTGCAATGGGACACTTGCTGCAGTTAGGGACATTGACAAGAGCCCTAATGTTGTTGGCTTGTCGTCCACAGTGGACATCATGAATGGCGGACTAGACCCAGAGTATGAAGCCATCACATCAATATGTCGAGAAGAGGACAGGACTACTACACTCTGTAATGCTGGCCAGGGGTTCCCCCCACACGGTGAAAGTGACTATGAAAGTATTGGTGAGCTCCAACAAAACGGAGAATACTCTAAACTTTAGAAGGTACGGTGATGAGTTTATATCTGACATAGCACAATCCTTTTCAGGGTCCTTCCCATACCCTAATTATTAACGGATTGAAGAGAAAGCACATCTTTATCTAGACCAGGACTGTCTCCCTGCTGCATGAAAGACATGGACTTTGTTTCCAGATACCTTATGATTTTATTTTTTATGTGCCATTTATTTTTTTATATGTAGCTGGTATATTGCCAAAAAATGACAGATCACTCTGAACCGAAATGAACTTTTAGGTACTTATGAGACTTACTAATGGTACAATTTGGAGAAGAATTGTTCATGTATATATTTTAATATACACATATGGGCTCTATAGTACAGTTCAGGTCTGGGGTTTTTCAGACAATGGATCTCCCCTAAAGTAAACCTGTACTTACTCAATGCCTTCTGAAAGTGCTGGCTGGCTGCCTCTGACCTTCAGAAGTTTTAGTGAATGACCTGAAACAAGTATGCAGATCAGGACAGTTAAAGAAGAATCAGAAGTCCTGATCTGTATACATGTTCCAGGTCAGTGACTCAGATTGTTGATATTCCTTCTCTTAGTATTACCCCATACAGGAGACCACCTCATTATGGAAAAATGGCCAGCACAAGGGATTTTACATTCATTTATACACAAAACAATCTTCATATTTAGCAGCTACACCAACTGTATTAAACAAGTTACAATTCAGGTTACAATCAGGTTACTTTTTCTTTGATAAAAGGTCTGACTCTGGTCCAGAACCTCGACAGTTTAATGGAGGTCTATTGCCATAGGACACTATATATGCATTTTTAAATCACTTTTTACATTGAAACAAAAGGGTCAGAATGACAGCTTTTCATTAAAGCACATCAATCATGAGAGAAACATGAAGACTGCAGTTACTGACCTTTACTTCTGAAAAGCCTAGTTGCCTGGCTGTCATATTGACCCTCTTGTTTTAGTAATCTAGGTAACTGACTGAACAACAAGTTTGCTGATCGGGTTTCTTGGATTATTTAGCATTTTGTATCCATTGCATGCTCGTCCCACGTCTGTGAATAAGATTCCAAAAAATCTTCAGAAAAATGCTAGTGGCCACAGGCTTTGTTCTGAATAAGCCAGGTATGGCATCTTGCATTCATCTCTAAGCAGGATTACTTTAATTTATAACATTTAGTGTACAATATACTGTAGGAAGGCCTTGTGCTTTGGCTTGAATTGCCCTAGTCGGGCGTGGCTGTAGTACAGAGGATGATATTGTGATTCGACTAATTGTCATTGCACACTGCAGTGGCCAGGTACCATTTCATGCACCTGCAAGCATAATAATTGGAAATCATTGCTGCTAAATTCTGCTTTAACTATTTTTTTCCAAAGAGCAGGAGAAGGTAGGAGCATTACAACAGAGTATGCAGAACTGCAGACTCTGAAAAGGGTTGTCACAGTTATCGTGTTATGCAGGCAGGTAGATCACAACACCATCACATTTGCATTATAAACCCATTGAAAGAGGAAACTGTTGCTCTATATTGGTTTCAATTGTATTTCAGCTGATTGTCTGTAGTGCCCCTTTTACTTTCACTGCCCGAAATGGCTTTGTGTACTCATGTTAGGGGTGGGTGGTTTTATGTTCACTTGGGTTGCAATGAGTTTAGCTGAACCTCAGTCGAAGGAGCTGCAGCTCGGTCAGAAAAGATGAACCCAGCAGATGCCAACAGCAAGCCTCTGCCTTAATAATGACCCCGGCCTTTCTTACTGGACCCCCTTATGGTTCACACCTTCAGAAAGTTGTTTGAATGATCCAAAGGCTTAGTGGTTGCCAACTGGCTGTGGTGCTGGCCACAGAAAGGAGCTAGAACCTTGAAAGACACCAAACTCCTTGGCCTCCTCTTCTCTTCTGTGCCGTAATCACCTGATAAGATGATGCAGTATGTTATATACAGCAGTTAAGGAGTTAAAATATATAAAAACAAAATCAAAAAATGCCAACGAAGGTTTTATAATGTAAATGTAATCTCAAAAGGTTCTTTTCAGTATTTTAAAATTTGCAGCTTTCATTAAAATAATACCTGGTGATCCTTCCATGAGGTTCCATGTTTAGGCAATTCCTGTTATATGGTGAAACCGTTCTCGTCTCCCAGTCGCTCTTCCGTGTTGTCACACAGGCTCCCCTCGGAGACTACAAGCAGCCGTGCCAACACTCAGTGGGCAGGCATGTTCTTATGTTGTCACCCTCGGGAAGCCCACCCAGAGCAATGCCATAGCGATAGCCAATGCTGGAGCAAGAACATGTAGACAGAAATTGGCTGCAAAGAGCCTTATAAAAGATCAACAATATGAGGTGCAAAAAAAAAAGGTTTTAAAAGGTTTTGAAAACAGTAATCTGTCAAATAAAAAAAAAATGGCAATTAAAATACAGTGTTTAAATGTCATCCAGTAAGGGTTTAAATCTACTGTAAGTTCTGAATAGTAAGCTTTTCTGAAATGGGTAGTGCTGAATATTACATGCATAGATTTTCCAGCATGTTGGTAAAGGTTTAGGACCATTCTGACAGTTTCTTTGTACATTACATGTAAGGGTCATACATGTTACAATGTAACCATACAATCTTTGTACGATCAGCTTTAGATTTACCAAAACTTTGCGATAAGTGGAACTTCCTAATTTACCAAATTTAATTTGCATCCAGTCAGACAGGACCTTGCACTACATAGCTGTTCGTAGAGATTGTGTAAACAGATTGAAACATGTGTGGTGAGCTTAAGGCCTGGTTCACACCTAGGCAATAAATCTGTGTGATATTGCGCGGATAATCAAGTCTATGGAGGCTGTTCACACCTTTGCGTTGCATCGCGCAGGCAAAATCGCCTGTTGCGCAAAAAGGTGCAGGAGCTCATTTCAGGCGGTTATCGCATGGTTTTGGTCCCATAGGTATCTCTATGCATTGAAAAACGCGCAGTTTTCAAAGCAGTATCACAGGGAAAACAACACGGGGAAAACAAACACGTGAAAACAGCTCAATCGTCTAGGTGTTAACCAGGCCTCAATGTCAGCCAAGCCATGTAGGATCCAGCAGCAAATGTGGACTGGTAGATCTAACGCCACTCATCTTCATGATTAATCTGTGTATGGTGGCTCCAAATAAAAAAAATAGGAGCCTAATACGGAGGACAGAAAAGGTGTGTAATACTCGACCACCACCAGTCCTCATAACTTGTGCTCCCCACGGCTGATATAAGAAGAATTTTTGATAATTCAGTCAATGTATGATGACAATGAACCGGTTCTATACATGCTAGAACCAGCAAGCCTCCACATCTCGGTCTCAGTGAAAATCTGTGATCGAGGCAGGATCCGATATCTTTGATGTCTTCACTGATTGTTGCTGTCAGCTCATATTAGGCATGTTACATTTGCTGAGCTCGTTCAGTTTAGTGCAGGTGGCATATGAGCTGCAGTCAGTGAACACCATGCTGATAACGTGTACTAAGCTGTGGTTAATGTGGACATTAATAGTGCCTTACCCTAATTCAAAGCCAAAATATAACCGAGATGTAGTGAGGTCACCCCCACCACCACCACCACCACCACCACTTTCCTCTAAGACTGAGTGCAGCCGTGCCTGCTGCATCCACTAAGGGATTCAATTAAAAAGTCATCTGCATTTACACCAACAGATAGACATGCATTGTTGAGAAAACTCATGTACATTAAATGCCTAATGTGCATGTATGGAATACTTAAGTGTCAATCTGCTCTACTGATCCTAATTGTTAGCAACCCAGCACTTCTACTTCAAAGTTCTACATTAATTTGCTCCCGTTCCTTTGTATATTTTGCTACTGTAAAGCCACATATGCTAAAGTTTAGTGCGGCATCTAACAGATGAGTCTGGTAATGAGTATGTACATATCTATGTGTGTTTGAAGTCATTCTGGCATTCAGTAACAGACTTATTATTGAATATCATCTCTTCTAGAATAAATCTGGTTTGCAAACCTTTAGTGAATACAGGGAATCACACAGGAATACGTATATCGCTCTTTCTGTATATTTGAATATCTTTCCGAATGCCAGGTTCCCATGCCTGTGTATATATATATTTAAATATAATTTAGAAAAAGTATTTTGGTACAGTCATTGTTTTATTACGTTGATCTGTTGTGCTTTATACAGTTGACTATATCTTCTTTTCTTTTTGTAAATATCTTTGTTGATAAAGTTTTTTTATGAACAAATATGACAGAAAATCTCAATAGGCATCACACCACTATGCAAACAGCACATCCAATCAGAGTCTTGAATTTCTTTCCTATAAAGCACCTGACTCAGTTAACTTGTATTTATTCTTAAGGAAGAACTCTAAGCTAATTATAAAGCAGCATACAGCCACCTAACTACTTACCTGCTTTCAATACAGTGCAGCTAATATGAAAACCAACAGTGTCACAAATGATGTGCTTGCTCACCCCTCCTACCTACAATATGATGACGGACAACACACCATCTGCAGAGTAGTCCAGGAAAAGTCCCTACTGGATCAGCTGAGTTGTGTCTAGATTAGGTTGCACCCTTTTCAGTTATGATTTTCTGAGGAGCAGCAGCCACATCTAGGGATGAAAATTCTGCACATGTACTTGACGGAAGCATGAGGACACAAATGTATTTTATCCCACAGGGGTTGTTTCATGTTCTTGTAAAGCTAAACTCCAGGCAAATATTTTAAAAAAAGTACAATGAATGCAGTTATTTGTATGTATGTGTATATATATATATATAAATATATAAATGCAACTCTCTGCTAATCTCCTGCACAGCAGAGCTCAAATTAGGAGAGGGGAAGAGCAGTGGCCACTAGAGGCCAATGAGATGAACTGCAGTGTGCGTGAGCTGCCAAGGAACAAAAAAGGAAGAGCCACGAGCAGGGAAAGGATTAGTTTTGGACCAAATGTTGAAGTCAGGCTTCAACATTTGGTACAAAACTAATCCTGTCTCTGCTTGTGGCGCTTCCTTTTTTGTTCTTTTATTATTACACGTGTCGGACACCCCGGTCCCTACCTTGAGGAAGCTGCACACCACCTTCACCCCTTGCCCACACAAACATTTGGGTATGTGAACACCCTTGTCAGAGCACTGGATCTCTGGACTGCCCCTCCAATTTTTCACGTGAACTGCCAAGGAACATGGTGATAGATCAGCAGGACACAGAGAGATGACTTATCACTGTGATGCTACTCCATTACTGACCAATTACAGACTGAGGATCAGAAGATGACCAGGCTGTATTGGTTAACTGCAGTAGAGAAAAATCCGGTCATCTGGCTG